TATTCTATAAATTCTACCGAATGGTAATAGACCATAATTTTTACAATATTCTATAAATTCTACCAAATTCATTCGGTATATATATATATATATATATATATATGTGTGTGTGTGTGTGTGTGTGTGTGTGTGTTGGTAATAGACCATATATATATATATATATATATATATATATATATATATATATATATATGTTGGTGTTGGTAATAGACCATAATTTTTACAATATTCTATAAATTCTACCGAATGTTTGGCGTTGATGAGCTACAAACATATTAACGCCAAACATTCGGTAGAATTTATAGAATATTGTATATATATATATATATATATATATATATATATATACATATATCCAATGAAGACCGTTGAGGTCGATGCATTATCTTTTCTTCTAGAAACCATGTCTTGACCCGGCTTGCTTTTTGCCATCCATATGTTTCCTACATTCCATTTTTCATTATCTTATATTTTATTATCCTTTTTCTTATAGGTCTTCCTTTCTTCCATTTTATCATCTGTTCTGGCAATTTTTCTTAGCCATTTTTATTAGCCTTTCATTTTTCATCAGACATTTTTCTTCCTAGTACTTTCGTCGTTTTCGTCTTCATTCTGTTAATTTGGATTCTTTCACTATCCTTTGTGTTTTTTTCTGTTCATTTCACACGGAACATTCTTTTGTAGCATTTCATCTCAAACGCATCTAGTCTTCTTTTGTCTTCTTTCTTCAATGTCCAGGCTTGACATACATACAATAATGTTGACTTTACACGTGAATCCATAAACTTTAGTTTATTCTGAAGTGATATTTTGTGCTTTTCTACATTCCATTCAGTGTTCCAAACGTGCCTGCTGCGATGCCAATTTTTTGTTTGATTTATAAGCTGCAATCATTTCTCATGTAATAAGGCTTCCAAGGTATACTAATTGATCAACCTGTTCGATATTTTCTCTATCGATTCTTATGTCAGCTAGGGTATTATTTTCTATAACCATAACTTTTGTTTTTTTTTATTAATCATTAGTCCATAACTCTTTCCGCTTTCATAAAGTTCTGTAGTTATTTTTTGCAAGTCTTCCTCGGTTTCTGTCAGCAAATCATAGGACTTTTTTTTCTTCTCTGTATTCTAATTCTTGTTGAACGTACATCATTCCGCAGCTTTTATTTTTTTAAATCACGAGAGCACTGGGACTGAAACAAGAACTGACCCAAAATAGAGAAGAATGAAAAAGAAGATTAAATGTGCCTGATCATGCGACTAGACCAATCCGGGGTTTTCGTCAGTGAACCCTGGAACAAACACCGGGCGGCTCTGCCTCTCAGGTTAGAGCGTCTATAAAAGTACACGATAATGATGGTATGAGCGTGTGTGCGCGCCCGCGTATTTGTGTGGAAAGATTAAAAATTTACAAATTGCTCTCAGTTATCTATAAAAAAATTTTGCACTTCCAACTTTTTGCTTCATATTCTGAAATGAAATATAAAATATCGTATTGTATTAAAGATTTCTAAAGCGCCTTCATCGATTTATCTTTATGAACATTGAAATGTAGCAGAAATCAAATAACACCCTTTCTCATTAAGTTTTATGTTATGAAACAACAAAGCAAAGCAATATGCTAAAAATTGTTAATTTGTTGAATTTATTTCATTTGTTGAATAGCTTGATTAGTTGTGTCTGTTATTCTTAGAAATTTCGTGTTTTTTTACCCGGGTACTACAATTCTCAGTCTCACATCACATTATAATTTTTATATTATTTTCAGATGCACAGAATGTTGAGCGAATTCAATGATGGCCACAAATATTACAAGTACAACCTGCCTGAATCAGAACTTATTGAGTTGTTTGAAAATATTTGCTCTGCTGATACTTACCAAGGGTTGGTTATTTTCTATTAACATTATTTTTCATTAAATGTAAATTGTTTTAATTTTTTTCATTTTTAATTTATAAGCTTCATTCAGGTGTGTAAAATAATAGTTGAACTCAGCGGAAAACAAGTGGACCATAAGAACAATGAAAATCAGCTAAACAAATCACTTGACGAATGAGGGGATAAGATTAACATTTCAACAGCAGATGATAATAAAATAATAAGATGATAATAATAATAAAATGATAAGTTCTTAGAGACGTCCTGGGTATGACATAAAACTGCATCCACGCTGCCTTGCGTGCTTTTGAGCGAAAGGCTAGGCCCACCGCCTATAACTGGTGGTTGTCGTCAGGATGGGTGTCCGGATGTAAAAACTTTTCCCCAAATTATTCCTATGCCATCACAAAAAAAAAGTTGATGGCAAAGAAAACAACGTCCTACCTCGGGAAACCGGGTCTCTGGACGCAAAACAAAGATTGATAAGTTCTTAGAGGAAGAAGAATGCGATGATCAAGCCATGTGCTAAAAAAATTTCAATATCAAAGAATAGGAAAAAAGCTCCGGAACGACTCAATAAAAGATGGCTGGATGATCTGGATGAGGATTTAAAAAGAGCTGGAATAACGATAGGAAAAATAGGATTTCGCTTGAAAAAGTACCTGCCGACCGCGAATGTGGAGGGATGTTATATAGAAATCGATATCCGGAGCCAGCTCAAGGATGTTTACATGACACACATGACAATATTTTTCACTATACGTTATCTTAATCTAGAACTCTTAGAAGAAAATCATTTGTTGTTACCAAAAATAATGTAACACTCAGAGTTTTATTTTTTTTTAAATCTTTTCATTTGATGAACAAATTTTTGTAGATATGGAGTGAAAACAGTCAATGGGGAAAATCGTTTGTACGGCAAAGGAATCTATGAATCGGACAATGTGGCTGGTGTGATTGCTGGTGGAGGCAAATGGCCTGGGAGGTAAATTATTCATGGTTGTATCATAATTTGTGTCATTTGGTTATCTCTGAGCTTACAGTCGCCACCTAGTTTCATAATCGGCCGTCCTAATCTTTGTGTTGTTTCTCTTACGTCCACTGTCTTTTTTCTGTTGAAACCTCCCATTTTTTTAATAGTCTTTGCTTTGCATTTTGTTTTGAATGTTTTTTTTTGGAATCCGACTTAATTCATCCTTAAAAAAACCAGATTGTTTATATTCATCTTTTCCTAATGATTAATAATATTTTGTCTATTGTGGGTTGCTTGAACTCTTCCTCCATCATCAAGGTATGTGCAATTGATTGTCATAATTTTTCAATTCAATTTACTTTCCATTGCACATGTTTTTAAGTACTTATCCTCAGAGTCTCAAGTACTTCGGTCTCAAGTACTAGTACTTAAAATTAAATTTTTCCAAGTACAAGCTCTTATACCTTAAGTACAAGTACTGTAGTTTAAGTTCTTTTATCCAAAATGCGAATGAACAATGAGAACATGAACGACCAAGCAAATAGAAATCTTCAAATTAATAAAAATTTAATTATATATTGTTACTAGGACTGTATTAAAGTGGACTTTCAAATTCGGAGTTAGCTAGATTTACAAACAAATCCGACCAGAGCCTTAGTCAAAGCCGGACTTTTTATGTTACATCTTCATCAACAACCTAATAATAAAACTTAAATTTAATACCAATTAAATTAATACTCTTAATCGATTTCTGTGAAAACTGTCACATACAAACCTATAAATTACTATATAACTTGGTGTGAAATAAAATTTTGACAAATGATTTGTTTTATTAAAATATAGTACTAAAGTGAATTAACCGCAAAGTTGCTTAATAATACCTTTCGTCCACTCGCATTTGGCTTTCGCTTTCCCATCATTGATACTAGCTTCGTGACATCTATGATCTAAATGATGCGACTATCTTGATTACATCTTAATTACATTTAAATTACAGGATGTCAACACCAAACACTATTATTGAGGTATTTAATTGAAACAAACAAAAATTAAGAGTTGCGTATATAACAAAAGCATATAGAATTATATACATGCATGCACTACACATGTTAACTCGTTTTGAAAAACAATGTTTTTAATAATAGTATTTGGTGTTGATATATATGGTAATTTAAATGTAATTAAGATATAATCAAGATAGTCGCATCATTTAGATAATAAATGTCTCGACGCTAGTATCTAGATGGAAAGTGCCAACGCGAGTGGAACTAGTAAGCCTGACGTGTTATGTACGAAATTAAGCAACTTTGCTGTTTATTCATTTTACTGACATTTTCATAAGATTAACTATGGTTAAATATCAATATTTTATTTAAATAAAATATAATATATATATATATATATTGTTTGTTGATCACTGACTGGCCGCAGCATGGAAATTGCAAAAAATGCTCGAGCGAAGAAGGATTGACCTCTGCTGCTTTCAGGAGAGGCGATGGAAATCGAATGGTGTCTGTCAGATCAACTCAGACAATGAAAAATATAAACTATTCTGGAATGGTCAAAAGACGGCCAAAAATGTTGTTGGAATTTTTGTCAAAAAACCGCTAGCCCAAGAAGTACTGGATATTAAAAGGATTAATTCACGACTCATGTGGATCAAGCTTCGCCTAGAAAAGCAAACAATGATTATTTTTCCTGCATACGCACCACAGACAGGCAAATCAGAAGAGATGAAAAATGACTTCTCGGCTGCGTTCTCTGACACCATCTCAACTATACCAAAATCTGAAACAATTCTGATTGGAGGCGATCTCAATGGCCACGTTGGAGAGAAAACAGATTGTTTTGACAACGTACATGGCGGTTTTGGCTATGGAGAACGGAATGAAGATGGCAACCGCATCCTTGAGTTTGCTGAAAGTCACGGGTTTTGTTTACTGAACACATATTTTAGAAAGAGGTTGGAACATCTCATAACATACAAAAGTGGACCATCAGCCACTCAAATTGATTTCTTCGCTGTTAAGCAACATCACCGAGGGCTATTCAAAAATGTCACAGTTAATCCTGGCGAATCATGTGTCGCTCAACATAGACTCCTTATGGCAGACCAGGTTGTCGAACTGTCACAACATAAGTCTAAATAAATGTCTCGGAGAATCAAAACGTGGAAGCTGAAAAGCAATATTCATCGAGAAATATTTCAACTGGTTGTCGCCACACAGTTAGACCACCAATCGCAAGCCAGTACAAATTGGGGTACATACAAAACCGTTTTGATAAACGCTGCAACTATAGTTTGTGGGAAAACTGGTACAAAATGTCAGCATGAACGGGACACTTGGTGGTGGAATGACAGTGTACAAAATGCAATAGCTGAAAAGAAAGCTGCATACAAGCAATGGCAAAAATCAAAGTCTGTTGATGACCATAAAATTTTCCGTGAGAAGAACAACTATGCAAGACGTCAAGTTGCACTGGCTCGGACAGATCAGTGCAGAGGGTGGCTCACTAAAAGCAAAGGTGAACAAATGAAATCTCTGTATCGTGTAGCAAAACAAACAAAGCGTACGAAAAAAGACATAGTTGGTGCCTCATGTATCAAAAACGAGAAAAATTAGATGGTTCTTGAACAAGATGAGATCAAGCTACAGTGGAAAAAATATTTCAACCGTCTGAAACAAATCCCATCAATGTCAACTTTGACGCTCCACCCATCGAAGGTCCGATTCCAGACATCACTGTAGAGTGGCTTACAGAAGCTCTGAAAGCTATGAAGGATGGAAAGGCAGCAGGGCCTTCTGGACTCAAAAATGACATTATCAAAGCATCTGGTACTGCAGGTATCAAAACGTTACTACAACTTTGCCGTGAAATGTGGAGAAATTGCTCAATGCCGACTTAATGGAACTATAGCATGACAGTCCTGCTATACAAAGGCAAAGGTGATCTATTGAACTGTTCATCATATCAGGGTATACGTCTGTTAGAACACTCCCTGAAAATTGTCGAAAAAATCATTGAGAGAAGATTAACGTCGTGCATCACAATCGGAAATTATCAATTTGGCTTCCTAGCGGGGAAATCAACAATTGATGCAATTCACATCCTTCAGCAATTGCAAGAGAAGTACCTCGCAAAGCATCAACAACTATCACACATTTTTGTAGACCTTGAAAAAGCATTTGATCGAGTACCCCGTGAAGCAATCAGGTGGAGTCTACGTCGACAATTCATTCCAGAATATCTTGTTCGACTTGTGATGGAAATGTATACGAATACTAAGACTTTTGTCAGCACAACGGTTGGAAACACAGATGCATTTGACACATCGGCGTTGGAGTTCACCAAGGCTCGATTCTCAGTCCACTGTTATTTATAACTGTGATGGAAGAAATCACAAAACCATATTCAAATTCAATTCAAAATCATATTTGAATTGAATTTCCCATTATCAACATAATATTTTGCCTAAACCAAAATAAGGAGAAATAAAAAACTTACTTTTCAATTTTATCAAAAGCCTCTCTAGATATATTTCTATTCATATTAGTAGAGTTTCTGAAAATATTCACATCTGGTTGCACAAAATTGGCCTTACCAAAGTTTATGACATTACTTGAATTATCTGGCAAAAAACCGCATCTAGCCAAATATCTCTTCATTATTTATTTGAATTGATATGATGTCAGATTGTTATTCCAGTCACCTAAAATTATCATCATAAACTAAATTAGATTCAATGCATACCACCTCTGAAGAAAGCATTAAAAATAATTCTAAGTGATCCTGCGACAACTTGTACGTTAATAAATATTTTTGATCCTCCAAGAAATTTTTAGCAATTTTTATAATTGAGTTAATAATGGTCACAAAACCTGCAAAACATGTGCGTTTTTAAAACGATGGTGAAATTATCAAAGATTATAAAATTATTACGGCCTCTTTTTACATGATGTATGTATTGATAATAAGGAATTTCTATATGTTCCTATATATGGAACCTCATTAGTTACCTGTTCAACTTCGTTTTAATTAACTATGGTTGAATATCTATGTTTTATTTATATATGACACTATCGTAAAATTGTATGAGCCTTTTTATTTGCCTGTCCGAATTTATTTTAATTAACTATGTAAGCAACGTAGAACAATAGTTCGCGGATATCCGACTTTTCCCTCGAGCCCTTTATAACATTATTTAGAAACAAACATTTTTTTAATTTAACAACGCAAACTTTAAAGATTGAAAAACACTAATGTTGTTTTACTCAAAAAGGACAAAAAATCAAACAATTAAAAAGCTTGAGTAAAACCAAAAACATTAAATGTACTTGGTAGTAAAAATATGGAAAATTTCAATTGATTTGCATTTTTCATCTTTCTCACGACCTGGGAGATGTGCTAGATTGTCTAGATTGTGCTGGAACAGCTGATGCCGTCGATCGTAGACACATACGTGCGGCGCGGGGTAAATAGCACTTTCTTGTCTCGGTACTGATGCGGCGTAGCATTCTTCTATCGCTGCGCTCAGAGCTATACAGCACAGCTATACAGCTCACAGCAGAGACGTGATCGATGACAACAAAACTTGAACAGCAGCTTTACCGAACTGACATAAAGATGATTCGTTGGATGCAACATGTTGACCTTAGGGACCATATCCATACAACCGAGATCCTGAACCGGTCGGGACCGAGCACGTTGAAGGATGCATGCCGTCGTCATCACCTACGATGGTTTGGCCATGTGACGCAAAGCAAACACGATACAATAATTTCCGTTACTGGGCACCAGGTGTCTGGCACTCGCCCAAGAGGTCGCCCAAAGAAGTCCTGGACGCAGACCATACAGTAAGACTGTAAGGCACTTGGTCTCAAGAAGATAAACGCAATGGATAGATCGGCTTGGAGACAGAAGCTGACAAATGGAATAAAAAAGTCCGACCCATAACGGATGGAGACTATAAACAAAGATTGATTGATTTGATTGATTGTCTTAGCAAAAAAATAAGAGTTAACTAAAATATTTTAATTTGACTATTTAGCTGGTAACTGAAATTTTTTTGTTAAACTATCATTCTAAATAAACTTTTTTGGATAAACTATGCGGTAAAGTAAAAAAATTGTTAAACTATTAGTTTGAAACTGTTTAGTTAAACTATGCCCACCACTGCAAAAACATAGATACATGTTTACCATGATTGCACTACTAGACGTTAGTTCGGCGTTTGATACTGTCGATCATGAAATTTTATTAAATCGGCTCAAAATATCGTACGGTTTCGATGGCTCAGCTCTAGATTGGTTCTCGTCGTATCTGTCATCAAGGACCCAAACGGTGATTGTGAGTGTTAACGAATCAGATGTCGCAAGTTCAGGATTGACTCGCGGGGGGTTCTGCAGGGATCGGTTCTCGGGCCGTTGTTGTATGTGTTGTATACGGCCGATTATTAGGGTAGTTGAAGAAGCTGGACTTCAATGTCATTTATACGCAGATGACATTCAGCTACAAGGTTTCTGCCCATTGAAATCATCACATGATCTTCGGCAATAGACAATAGACATTGTTGGTAAATGGATGTCGGCTAATAAACTGAGACTGAATGTTAAAAAAACTCAACACATCTGGCTTGGTACCCCACAAAGATTGAAATTGATGAATGATTTTACATCGTCGGTGAACAATCTCGGTGTTTTACTGGATTCATTAGTATATCTGCGTAATGAAATCCATTGGCTGCGGTTTCCGGAAATGGTTAAATTTAAAGTGGCACTCTTGGTAAAAGACTGTCTGACTGGAAATGCATCGGTTTACTTGAGTGAACAACTAATACCGGTATCAAAGGTACATGGACGTAGTCATCTTAGGTCGTCGAACCATGGGGATCTGGTTATTCCGTCCTCTAGTTCATCAAAATATGGACGGCGAAAATTTGCTGTAATTACGTGTGAAATTTGGAACTCACTTTCTGTACAGTTGTGGGATGGTTTCATCACAGATCGATGGCTGTTCTAAAAAAAACATTGAAACATCATTATTTCAACACTGTACACCAAAGAAAGCGCTTCTGAGGTCTTTCGAGAGAGGCGCTATACAAATTCTGATACTGATACATACGTTGTATATTAAAACTTAGGTGATAAAAAATCAACTCAAATCCGAAATCCAGTCCAATTTTGTGATCAAATTCTCCAGATAAGACATTTGTGTTCTTAAAAAATTTAGCTATATATTTGTAAATTTTCAAGCACAAGTACAATGTAAAGTTACAAGTACAAATACTTAGGTGTTAAGTACAAATACCACATCACTGCTGCACTGCTTTACTTTTGAGATCTTGCACCCATACATAACACATAACTATTTAAGGTCTTCAAGTTTGTTTTTAACTTTTTTACTTAAGACTTCCTATGGGTAAACATCTCAACATCGCAAATAATTGTCTTTTGAAAAAAAGTTAAAGAGTTTTAAACTGTTTAATAATTTTGTTTATTTATATTGTTTCTTTTTATTTGAATATTGAATCCTGGAATGTTTAAAAAATTATTGAATAGTTTTTTATTATAAATTTTATTATTTTGATAATTTTCGATTCAGGTTGGCATAACTTATGTTTGTGTTGATTTTACATTGAGTGTGATGATATGATGAATTTAATTGACTGGATGTGTTGAGCTTAATAATCTTAAAAAAATAGGTAGACTGTTTTTAAATTAAAATCATCTTTGGTTTTTGATTGTAGTTTTAGTAAAACAAAAAAAACAATAAGCACAATTTGATTATAGATTTTTCTTGCTTATATCTTAAAAATAAGAAAATGATTTTTTGAATAATTAAATTGATCTTTATATTTTTAACTAGTCAATGAATACGTAACAGATTGAAAGGAATCTGCACGGAGTACATTGAACATCTTGGTGAGTTGGACATGTACGAAGCCTACAAACAAGACCCCAAGAACCACGGTACTTTCCATGAGTATTTATGCCTTGGTGATAACAAAGCTAGAAGTGCATGCTCCAAGGCCAAAAAGAAAAACAGTGATGAGTTGTGATTAACATTTCTTCAAAATGTATTTCAGTTGAAAATCATCACCATTTTGCATTTGAATATTATATTTTACAATGTTAGGTTTGGGTACGTT